GAAAATGAATTCCATTTAACAGTGTTTTCTAGTTTCTCGTTTGTTCAATTGATTTATTTATTTTATTATAGTGAAATTTTACATTTCTTCTTTTTTTGAGAAATTTATACATGGAAATGGGATATTCTTGTAGAAACTTTACTTTTTTAATGTGAGAATGATTTGCTTTATTTTGTTAAGTTTCGTTGCTTCAGAATTGAAGATGTGAAGGGTGAAGATGTGTCCTCGTCTTCCTCTGTTTCTGTGATATTTATTTTATCCTCGTTACACTTTTATTATTTAATTTTATTCACCCGAAAAATTGTACGAAAATTATCTATCATAAGAGAACAATTGGAACAATCCTACTTGTTTTTATTCGAAGGAAATGCTGTACGACAAATTATCCAGCAAATATCACTGCACGATTACGATTCCCAGTGCTACCATTCAATCAAGATGGTTCTCGTGGTACCAAGAAAAGAGTGGCGTGGACATTCGAGCGTGGAGTATGGAGTATCGCGGTTCGATTTAATATTAAACACGATCATGTACCCCTCTCCTCGGTTTCCACGTATAAAAGGCATATATTTAAACATCGACGTACGTTCGTACCTTCATTTCTGTCCCGAACAGATTCTTCTTCAACAAACGTGATTCGTCGATACCGAATCGAGGCTCTTCTCTGTCTGGCGGTCTTGCAGTGCTTCGAAGTGAAGTCGTTGTCCCTCTCTGAAGGAAACAGAAACGAAAGAAAAGGAGAAATGAGGAAATAGTAAATTTGGGAATTTTGAAAAATTTGGTATAAGTGAAAATTGCAAGGAAGTGAAAGTAAATAAAATTCAATAGAGAACTTTTCAAAGTGTCCTGTAAAAGAAACGAAAGAAAAAGAAGAAATGTAACTTAAATTTGCAAATTTTGAAAAATTTGGTATAAATGAAAAATAAAAATTGCAAAGAAGTGAAAGTAAATAAAATTCAATAGAGAATTTTTCAAAGTATCTTGTAAAAGAAACGAAAGAAAAAGAAGAAATGTAACTTAAATTTGGAAATTTTGAAAAATTTGGTATAAACGAAAATTACAAGGAAACTAAGTAAAATAAAATTGGATTGAGAATTTTTCAAAATATCCTGCAAAAGGGGGAATAAAAATTGAAATTATTAAATGAAAGATTCTTCTGCAAATGACGACTGAAGTTTCATTCAAAATTTTGTCAAGGTGACTCAGAAATTTTTCTAAAAGTATTCTAATTGAAAACTTCATCAAAATTTCAAAAATTAAATTTTTGAGTTGCTTTTAAATTATAATAATAGTCATTACTCAAGGAAATTAATACCATAAATTAACCAAAATTTTAAACGTTTACTGCAAACCTAATCGTTTTCAAAAAGAAATACTGTAAGAAATCAATTTCGAGAATCCAAACAAAGAAACGAATCGAATCAAATTCAGAAAGGGTTGACATCGCAGCATTGCAGTCCGATTTACAGAAGAAAAGAAGACAACAGCCGAGCTGTTATTAGGTTCGACAAGAAACATTAACTAGGAGCCGCACGAGTTAGTGAAAAATTACAATACATTGTATGAAAAACGAATGCACCTTACAGATCATTGCTTTACACCTTACCACCGTCATCTCTTCATTTACTTTATCTCCCCCAATTATACCACTTTGTTTCGCCGATTAATCGAATTCCATGTCTGATAAACGATATTATAGAGGTTAGGTAATATCTCTATTGATAATTAGATCGTCACACGGATTAATTCGTTGACACGCGAATTAAAATAGATCGATAGAGTGATTAATTATAGTCGTTAGAGGTAAATCGAGAGGCGATTTAAATATGGGGGAAATGAGGGAAAGTACGAAGGAGGGTAGCATTTTACAATATTTTATATAAACGAGCTGCATCGCTAAAGCACCGATATCGATAAATAAATAATTCTCTCGATTGAGTGTCGTTTAAGATAAAATGACCACCGCACGACGAATTATATCGTGTTTCAGATTGGAAAAGTATGTTTGAGAGGAATGAACATCGAATCACTGTTTCAATAATAAATGTTTAATTAACCTTTATCGACTGAGTGGCATTTCAATCAATCTCTCTCTCTATCTCTGACTTTCAAGCAGATTCATTCTACTCTCTTTCTTCCTGTTTTAAAAGAGAATACTTTAATTTTTTTCCGTTAATTGCATTTTCGTTTTTACTATTTTCTAGAATTTTCTTCTATTTTAAATGGTTTCGGGAATTGATTTCGTTGCTGAGATTGGGTCAGGCGTTCTACCGAAGAATCTTCAGGGGAAACGCTCGAAATAAGTCAGACAGGCGGGGTAAGAATAGAGAGTTTATTATATCAGAAATATAATGACCAAAAAGAAACGTACAAAACTTGACGATCGTCTCCGGACAAAATCGGCGCAGTCGAAAAAACAATGATAAACATCCTTGGACGCGAACCTGTGCAAATTTTTCCGAATATTTTTCGTAGATTTATAAGTACCATTTTGAAATTTTCAGCTTCTCGAGTTGAATTCTGAATGAATATCATTGTGGAAAGTATGCTTCTTGTTGTCTGTTTCTAAGATTATATTTTTGTAGGATTTTGCAGACGTTTAATCGGGATACTGTATTTCCTATTTATTCTAGAAACGAATAATCGTCGAGAGAGAAGGATATTCTAATGTTTGGAAAAGAAATTTCGTAAATAAAATTCATGAGGGATGAAAGAAACAATTGACAGGAAAGAGAAGAATATGATCGAAAAGAATGACCAAAACGAAATAGAAAAAGAGAGGAAGTATTATTTCTTTTTTTTTTTTTTTTGGTAAGCGTCCAGGAAGCGGTTAGAACGAAAAATTGGCAAAGTTCGAAAAACGATTGTGCGATCGTCGTAGCCCCGTTGAAAGCGCGAAAACAGGAAGAAACGGGTTCCGTTTCGCTGTTGGAACGGAGAAACGAGCGCGCTCAATCCTCGTGTGCAAATCGTGTCGCGTTTATATTTCTCGCGATAAACCAATCGAGTTCCCGGCAGTGACGGTACACAGAAGTGGCGGATTGTGTCTCGTTTTCAGTGTACGCGTTCTAATTTTCAACTTTGATCTTTGATTAAACCCTGCAAACGGACTCGCAGCTGCGAATCGTCCTCGCGTGATGTCTTTGTCTCTATTACACAAGCATCTCGAACGAATAGGAAATAAGGTATTAACGATGAGCTACCTTCTTATTGCTGGCGTCAGTCAACTTTGCTTAGACCTTCTTTCTTCTTATTTAGGAGTAAGTGGGTGCATAAGTGGGTGAGTGGATGAGTGTGTGAGTGAATAACTGAATAAATGAATGAGTGAATGACTAGGTGAGTGATTGAGTGGGTGAGTGAATGACTGTGTAAGTGAGGAGTGGGTGCGTAAGTGGGTGCATAAGTGGGTGAGTGGATGAGTGTGTGAGTGAATAACTGATTAAATGAATGAGTGAATGACTAGGTGAGTGATTGAGTGGGTGAGTGAATGACTGGGTAAGTGAGTGAGTGGAAAAGAAAGTGAATGAGTGGGTGGGTGAGTGAGTGAGTAAGTGAGTGGGTGAGTGAAAGAATGGTGTGTGAGTGAGAGGAAAAGAAAGTGAACGAGTGGGTGAGAGAGTGAGTGGGAGAGAAGAGAATGAGTGGGTGGGTGAGTGGGTGAGTGAATGAATGGTGAGTGAGTAAGTGGAAAAGAAAGTGAACGAATGGGTGAGAGAGTGAGTGGGTGAGTGAGTGAATGGTGAGTGAGTGAGTGGGAGAGGGAGTCAATGAGTGGGTGAGTGAGTGAATCAATGAGTGAGTGGGTGAGTGAGTGAGTCAGTAATTGAGTGCGTATTTATTTGGGCGTGTGCTTTCTCTATCGTAGTGTGCGATTCATGGCACGAGTGATTCAGGCGTTGATAGGATAATTTACACTTGAATGAATGTTGACTGGTATTCACAAATTGTCAAATTCGAGGATTCACTGTAATTATTCAAACTAATTGATAAATGTTGACAGAAATTGTTAAAATTTGAAGATTCTTTGGCTCGGATTACTTAGTGAATGATTATACCATGCTTCACGCACTTCATAGTCGAGACTGTGTACACAATATTTCCAACAATGATCATCTCCTCGTGTTGAAACAGTGACTATAATATATTTCCTCTTGCAACAATAAGTTCCCTGCTTCCCGATACAATACAATCCACAGAAATTTCTTCAAATTCACAGTCGAGACTATAAAGCACTGATTCCTCAACAATGATTCTTTCTTTGATTAACGAACAACTGCGTGATTCTTCTAAATCACGCAATCGCAACTATAAAGCATTCATCTTTGGTTTCAATTGTATCTTCAATTTCATAATTGTACAATATTTTCCTTGGTTTCAGCTCTTCTATGGTCTCATAGCCGTGACTATTCTTTCAAATTAACTATATGATCGTTTCAACCACAAAATCATGACTATTAAGCATTTCTCGTTGGGGTTTCAATCGTACAATTAACACCTACGCATTCTTTTCTCATTTTATAGTCATAATTGTTGAATGTTTCCTTTAGTTTCATCTCTTCTAAGGTCTCTTAACCACGAATATTCTTTTTTTCTCGATTAACAGATTAATTTAGACTAGGGGGAAATTTGTCTACTATCAATTCGATCGTTTCTTCTTTTTTCTTTCTTCAACACTCCGTTCTCCTTGTCAACATCTGAATCACAACGAATACTCTAGATATCCGGACAGCGAACGTAAGTACTCGTGTCACCGAGACGAAAGAAAGGCCCTCGAACGACTGCGAACGACACATCCCATTATCCCTGTAGGCGAACAACAATTAACGTCCGTATATATACAATGTATACGTAACTGTGACACACACGTTCAACGACGATAATCAACAATTCGGTAGAAATGCAACGTTCGTTTTCCTGTATATAAAATCTTCGATCACAGGTTTCGTTTGTCGCGTGAGAATTCATCGACGATTCTTTTCCTCGTTTACTATACTTTTCTTTTTTTTTTTTCATTTTTTACCCTTTCTTTTTGTGATTTTTTGTCGTTTTCTTTCTCGAAGAGTACTCTAAGTTCAGTGCTGGGCGTTTTCTTTTTTCTTCACAAAATTAAATTCCTTCAAATCAACCTAACGTACAATTCGATTCAACTATGTAATACAGTTCTATAGTCGCCTTCTTTGCTTAAGATTACTACGTGGAATGGTAATTACTCGGAGAATTATGCTAGCTTGAAAAATTCACCGATGGAGGTCGAATGGTTTTCCGAGAAATTTTCCTTCGGTTTGTCCCTTTACGAATTAGAGATTCACGGGAACAGCACGACTTATTCAACTACGATAACAACAATCTACGATTACTGTGCGTTTATTAATCGTCTCTACTTGGCTTCGTTACGAGTAGACTATGTTATATTTAAGATACTTTCTCGGATAAAAGGAGCGACTCGCGTTGCGCTCTCAGGCAGTGCGACTAAAGTGAGCTAAACATTAATTGTTTACGTAGGCACCGTGTTCGAGGACACTCCTCTTGCGAAGAAACGCGTGTATTACATAATGGACGATATTGGTTTGACCTAACGCGACTCTAATTCAAAAAGGAGACACTTTAACTGGTTTCATGCGTTCGCGATGCTGTTCGTCTTCTTGGAAGAATTCCTTTTTTGGGTTTCGGGAGGATTTGGATGCAAGATGTGTCCTTTTGGAAAATTGTTTTTTTTTTTCGTATATTCTGATGCCTTCTTCGAGGCTAACATTCTTCTGGTATATTTTTATACTTCTGTTGAAGTTAACACGAATCTATATTTTAACAGTTCGTTTGGTGCTTTATCATTCCTTCTCTGAGGCTCATAAACATCAACATTTCTTCAACATTGTAGTCGATTTTTGAATACATTCTTACACTTCGAGTGAAGTTAACAAGTACCTATATTTCAGCAACGTTTTAACCAATTCGTTTGGTGTTCTATCATTCCTTCTCTGAGGCTTACTAAATTCAACATTTCTTCAACATTGTAGCCAATTTTTGAATATATTCTTACACTTCGAATGAAGTTAACAGGTATCTATATTTCAGCAAGGTTTTAACCAATTCGTTTGGTGTTCTATCATTCCTTCTTTGAGGCTTATAAAATTCAACATTTATCAACATTATAGTCAACTCTTTCGGTACATTTCTTCAACATTATACCAATCCTTTTGGTACATTCCACAGCTCCATTGAGGCTCACAGAATTAAACATTCCATCAACATATCAACCAATCCTTTCACAACATTCCTTCTCCCCCCGAAGTCAACGAAAGCACCACATTAAAAGGACACAATTTCACCCGAAAAAACCTCTCATAGCATCAACTATAAAATATCAACGACCACTCTAACAACAACAAAGCTGCCCAATGATTCTCCTATGAGAAAAGAAACCTCGGAACGATTCAACCTCCATCGAATCGATTCGCTGTAATACCACTTTTGCCCAGCACCGCACGACCCTTGCACATTTTAACGGAACATCTAAACTCGGCCTAAGTGCGCTACAACGATGGCGGCGAATCACGCGGGACAAGAAATAAGCATCACCATCTGGCTGCTCAGGATTTCCCCTAAAAAGAAACGAAGGACCTCGTTTGGCCGCTTCAAACACGGCCAGTCTATCTAAGAAAATGGCGCCGCTCGATAAGCTATGAAACCGTGACGAAGCCGCGGCGCGTCTTCTATTTACGCGAACAAGCGTGTCCCGTCCTTCTCCTCGTCGTCTCTCACTCTCTCTCTCTCTCTCTCTCACTCTCTCTCTCTCTCTGCTTCTCTGCCTTCCTTCGATCGTTCCTGCCCAAAATCGCCCGCGAGTCTCACTTGAAGGAGTTTATTATGTCAACAATGCTGACGTATGTACCGATGACAAGGCCAAGCAGACCGAACACGATCAAAAGAACATTCTTCACGAGCATGAACATACACGGACCGAAGTCTTTATCTGGCCATAATACACAGATTTCGATAATCGCCGGGAATGCAATTCCAAGGGCGGATAAACAGAGAGCGCCGAACAGGGAGATGAAGAGACCTAGTCTGGGCACGGTGATCGCCAACGTGACTGGAATAAGAGAAAATTATTTCAGTATTGGTGGATATAGGAGTTAGGGAAAATTGTGAGACGAATGAGGAATGAGAGAAATGGTGATGGCCAACTTGACTGGAAAAAGAGAAAATTATCTGAGAATTGATGAATATAAAAATTAAAGAAAATTATTAAAGGAATGATGAATGAGGGGAATGAGAAATGGGGGATAAGGAGTGAGGAATGAGGGGAATGGTGATAGCCAACTTGACTGAAAAAAGAGAAAATTATTTGAGTATTGATGAATATAGAAATTAAATAAAATTATTAAAGGAATGGGGAATGAGGAATGAGAGGAATGGGGAATAAGAAGTGAGGAATGGGGGGAATGGTGATAGCCAACTTGACTGAAAAAAGAGAAAATTATTTGAGTATTGATGAATATAGAAATTAAATAAAATTATTAAAGGAATGAGGAATGAGGAATGGGGAATGAGGAATGAGTGGAATGGGGAATAAGAAGTGAGGAATGGGGGGAATGGTGATAGCCAACTTGACTGAAAAAAGAAAAGATTATTTGAGTATTGATGAATACAGAAATTAAATAAAATTATTAAAGGGTTGATGAATGAGGAATGAGAGGAATGGGGAATAAGGAGTGAGGAATGAGGAGAATGGTGATGGCCAACTTGGCTCAAAGAAGAAAAATTATTTGAGTACTGATGAATATAGAAATTTAAAAAAATTATGAGAGGAATGAGGAATGAGAGGAATGAGAACTTACACGTGGCCAAAGTGATAATCGTCCGACAGACGTACTCCCAGAAGATTTTCCTCTTATGGATCTTCTGGTCTAGATAAGTGTTCCAAATAATGTCGACTGGAACGTATCCTTGAAGGGCGTGTGTGATAAAAATGGCGATGGCGAACATTATCTTGATACTTTGTGCCATGCTGTTATTAAGAAACGTCTTATGATATTTGATATATCATTAAACGGAAAAGAATATAAAATGAAGTGTACTTACACTTCTTCCGAAGGTAAATTGAAAGTAACGCTACCACCCGCTAAGGAACCATACTTTATGTAACCGAAGAATCCCATGAGAATGTACAGAGCGACGATCACAGTCATTCCTATGTTCAGAACACCGCAATACCCTCCGAAATACTGTGGAGTCTTCATATTGTTCTCCAGCGCTATAATCTACAATGAGAAATATTTTTGCTGTCATAGATTCTCGATAAGAAAATCTGGAAATTTAGAAAATATCAAATTTTCTATGAATCAAATTTTGGAAAATATTAAAATTCTCGAAATGAAATTTGGAAAATATTGAAATTCAGGAAGTGAAATTTAGAAAATACGAAAGTACTGTAAATGAAATTTAGAAAAATTCCAAAAAAATTCTCGAAATGGAATTATTGCATTCACGATTTAAAAATGATTGCAACAGATCTCGAAAGTGTTTGAGGATCGCTGAGATCATCAGCAGAGGCTGAGAACAGCTGGGAAATAATAGCAGGGATTGCATTGACGCACTGACGATCTGATCACGGCAATCTCAAAGTTGCCCTGTAAGTGGCCGTTTATTTTGTTTATTAACGATGCGACGGCACCGTTGATCTATTCTAAGTGCAGTCTACTCGTTTCTGCTACAGCAATCACGGGGTATGATCGACGAGGCCAAATGATAGATCGATCGCGGGCAAAATTGAAAAACCAATGCTATATTGTTCTAAATTGCGCGTCTTCTTCGAAGTCGGAAATATTCCGTGTTGCGTATGAACTATCGACGCGTCTAATGTCGTCGATTATGTCAAGGGATCTACCCTTTTTCAATTCAATGTTCCGTAGATTTTCAGCAAAGTGAAAATTAAAGATTAAGAATACTTAGGATTGAAAATTGAGAACTTATTTAAATCCAAAAATTAGGAATATTAAAATTTGAAGATTTAGAATACTTCGGGTCGAAAATTGAGAATGTCTA